ATATCGCCCTCCTTATCCGTCACCACCATCACTAGCGTGGACACCAGATTAAACGCCGCCACCGCAATAATCAGCATCAGGATAATGAACATCACCGACTTCTGCGCTTGAATCGCTTTAAACTGGTTTTTGTTCAAATTCGTCCAAAGTTCAGCCTGCGGAGGCATTGCGTTATGAGTGATGTGATTATTTCCTGCCAACAATTGGGCAAGCGTTTCACCGAAGGGCGGCTGGATGTGGAAGTGTTGCGTGGGGTCGATTTGCAGATTCATGCCGGTGAAAAAGTCGCTATCTTGGGTAGTTCCGGTAGCGGTAAAAGCACTTTGCTGCATTTGATGGGCGGGCTGGATTTGCCATCGTCAGGGCATGTCGAAGTGCTGGGCAAGCGTATGGATCAACTCTCCGATACCGAACGCGGCGCATTGCGCAATGAGTCGATGGGCTTTATTTACCAGTTCCATCACTTGCTGCCAGAATTCACGGCGTTGGAAAACGTGGCAATGCCGTTGTTGATTCGTGGTGTGAAAGTGGCTGATGCCAGTGCGCAAGCGGCGGATATGTTGGCAAAAGTCGGCTTGAAGGAACGTGTGGATCATAAACCCGCGCAACTTTCCGGGGGTGAACGTCAACGTGCGGCGATTGCTCGCGCCTTGGTATCACGCCCCAAAGCCGTGTTGGCAGATGAACCGACAGGCAATCTTGACCATAACACGGCTGATAGCGTGTTTAACCTGATGCAGAGTTTAAATGATTCCTTGGGAACGGCGTTTGTCGTGGTGACGCACGACCTGCAATTGGCGGCGAAAATGGATACGGTGTATCGCCTGACGGATGGGGTGTTAGGGGCTGCGTAACTTGCCATTGCATTTGCGGGCGCGACGTTCTTTGATACGTCTAAGCAAGTGCAAGCGCCACAATAGGTGTACGCCGTAATAACCTGCAATAGCTGAGAGTGCCGCCATCAGGAAGATGCCTAGCAAAAAGGGTTTCCAGATCAGAACCAAGCCATGCATTAGCCAGTCGAGACTGGGTTCAAAGTTAAAACCCGTAGGTGGTGCGCCCAGTATCGCAGTGCCTAATAGGTAGGCGGCATACAGCATAGGGGGTGTTGTTACAGGGTTAGTGACGAATACCAATACCACGGCAATGGGCATGTTAGCGCGAAAAAAAACGGCCAGTAACGCCGCTAATACTGCTTGAAACGGGATGGGTAGCCACATGCTAAACAGTCCGATAGCAAATGCTGCCGCCACATTGCGTCGATTCAAATGCCACAAACAAGGTAAATGCAAGGTATCCCCTAAAAACTGGAGGTGCTTGTGTTCCTTGAGCTTGGCGGGGTCTGGTGACCATTTCCGTAAAAACTTGCGTGGCATAATGTCCCATGTCAGAACAATAAGAAGGCGATAGTATCTATGGTTTACCCTTAATGCGCACCTTTTCAGTGAGTTTTTTTATCGGCACGTTGGTGCTGTGGGTTTTGCCACGTCTGCCAGTCGTGGATGCACTGTTTTTAGGGGGATTTTGCCTGCTGGTAGGTGTATTGGGTGTGTTCGGTGTACGTCGTATGCAGCTACGCAACTGGGCAAAGGTGATGGTATTGGTTGGAGTTTCGCTGGGTAGTGCTTATGCTATTGGGGTGGCAAGTGATGTGAAAGCAAGCTGGTTACCAACCGCATGGGAGGGTGAAGACATCTTGTTGACTGGTACGATTGCGGATGTGCCTGAACGCAAAGCCGATGGGCTGCGCTTTGTATTCGATGCGGATACGCCAAGTTATACCGGGCGTTTGCGGATGGCGTGGTACGAAGATGATTTGCCGGATATGCGAGCGGGGGAGCGTTGGCAGTTGTTGGTGCGCGGCAAGCGTCCGAATGGTTTCATGAATCCCAATGGTTTTGATTATGAGCAGTGGTTGTTTCACAACGCATTGGCGGCAGTGGCTACGTGCGTAAGTCTGCGGATAACCAGTGTCTGGGTGTTGCACCTTGGTGGGAACCGGATAATGTGCGGCAATGGGTAAGGGATAAGATTGAGGTTGCTTTGCAAGGTTCGGCGATGACTGGAATGGTGCAGGGCTTGGCGATTGCTTATACCGAAGCAATTACCGCTGGACAGTGGGAGGTGTTGCGTAAAACTGGCACGATTCACTTGCTGGCGATTTCAGGGTTGCACATTACTATGGTAGCAGGTTTGGGGATTCTGCCGGTGTGGGGAATCTGGCGTTTGTTTCCGATGCTGTATTTGTGGTTGCCGTTGCGAGTGGCAGCGGGGTTGTCGGGTGGGGTATTGGCAACGGGTTATTCCTTGTTGGCGGGGTTTAATATCCCAACACAGCGCACCTTGATCATGTTGTTGGTGGTATTGGCGGGTTTGGTGTGGCGGCGACAAGTGCCGTTCAGTGTCACCATGAGTGTTGCTTTGTTATTGGTATTGCTACTGGATCCGTTGGCAAGTTTGTCAGTAGGGTTTTGGTTATCCTTTTTGACGGTGGGCTTGCTGGCATTTTTGGGGGTGCGGCGGCGTCGGGTGGGTAAGTCGGCTGTGGTGTGGATGCAGTTGGTGTTATCACTGGGAACTGTTCCATTAGCAGCAGGTTTTTTCGGCATGGTGTCGTTGAGTTCACCGCTGGCGAATTTGTTGGCTATTCCGGTGGTGACCTTTGTGGTTACACCCTTGGTATTGTTGGGGATGGTGTTGGCTGCGTGGTGGGAAATGGGAGCCGCTTGGGTCTGGGCGGTTGCGGCGACCTTGCTGGAGTGGTTGATGTGGGTGCTGGATTGGTTGGCAACATTGCCTTGGTCGACGGTTTATATGCCGTTGATTCCCTTGCCTTGGCTGATCGTGTCCGTACTAGGGTTTGTGGTGTTGTGGTTGCCACGCGGAATGCCGGGGCGTTGGTTGGGTTTGTTGTTGATGTTGCCGCTTATGTTGTATCAGCCACCGAAGGTGGATACGGGGGCAAAGAGCCGCACATAAACTCTACAATCACCGAGCCACACGTCACAGTCATGCAATCGTTGAACGCTATTCCCACATGCCCCAAGGAGGCGATAT